TCTGGCTCGGTGAATTCTCTCACCCTCCTGCGCTTCTGACTATACCCAGTGCTTGTATAAATAAATAAATAAATCTTTAAAAAAAAAAAAAAAAAGGTGAAAATATTGCTTCAGCAGTAGTACAAGGAATAGCAGAGGCAAAGAATGGAGAAAGTGAGAAAAAAAGGAAACATTAACAGTGTTTACCTATTCTTGACCTGATTAAGCTTACAACTAACTGCCTAAGAGAAAGTTCTGATTTTTCTGCACTAAACTCTTCAAGCAAGGTTTAGCAAAAAGTGTAATTTTTACAAGTAATTATTGTCTACTGAAGTTGCAGATAAAATGTCCTGGCAATGTAAGGTATTTTCTTGGGAATCTAAAAAAGTCTGAGGTTTCTTGAAATATGTAAAACAGCTTAATTAACTGAAAGAGGTTTCTTTTAAATGCTGTGAATCACCTTATCGTTTTTCTCCTCTTTTTTAATCCTGTTTTGCTTATTGCATGATTTTTCAGTGATGATTCATTGCTTTGATTGTGCAACCCATTGATATCATAACCTCTTTGGGCAAATATCCTCATGTTTCCATGTTCCTCTGGTAACATGGAAGGTCCCAGTGATCATTGTTGAATTAACACTCTTGGGGAACACAGCACACCTTTGACTGTCATTTCTGATGAGGTCAATACTCACCTCCAAGCCACTTTATGTAGTTTGGGTTGATACAGTACAGAGAACAACATACTGGATTTTAAGCTCTGAGATGTTGTTTTTACAAGATAATACTGAAAGCTACAGTGGATGGTTCTGTTTTCCTACTAGACACTTTACAAAATGACTATAATTACACAGAGAAGAGAGTGCAAATTACATGGTGGGCTTTTTTACACTTTAAATTACAAAAAATATATTTGTGCATCTACTCCAGTTTTTATGAAGGATTTAAATCAGTACAGCAACATTGGCATTGTGTTTTGCAACAAAGGATCATTTCACATCTTTCTAAATAATATTTTTCACTACCAATTAATATTTCATAGATATCTCTTCTCCCGTCTCTCCATACCACATCCGTCATTCTTGCATTTAACAATGAAATGTTTTGGGTTACTTTATTTCACTGAGATATTTTCAGATGGGGATTAAAAATAAATTGAAAGAGTGAAGCATTCATAAAAATAATGACAAATGAATGCTTTATGAATTGATACTTTATGAATGAAAGAAAGATGACAGTAGTAGGATGGACAATATGAGGTCAAGAGTTTCCTCTTCCTCAAATCAGGAATTGTGCAGGGGGCTTTGATTAAAGTGATAGAATAGGAAGGTTGACATCAGAAACATCATTAATAACTCAAACACAGAAGATGAGAAAAGGAAGAGCTCCACCAAATAGCTCTTATAGAGTCACTGAGCAAAAAATAGAGTTGCTGGTGAAATGGAGTATAAAAGACGGGGTGTGTGTGTGTGTGGTATGTGTAAAAGTTGGAAAATCCACTTAAAAATAATTTAAGATAAAGTCAGTGAATAATTTGAGTCCTCCAATTTTATCTATGAAACCTGCGTAGGGCATAAAACAAAGGAGGTACCACATAAATATTTATTTGGTGGACAACTGAAGAATGTTATCTAATTAAAGTTTGGTAACCATGGATTCACCTTTTCTGCATATTAAACTCCTTCAAACAGAAAGGAGATAAGAATTGGTCAGCCTTTCAGCACAACCTTTAGCACCCTGTCCCTGCTGCCATGCTTCAAAATCCAAGTCTCACCAATCTCAAAAACAGAGGCCAGACCTAAATGGAGTTGAAAGAATAGCACCATGAGCCTCATCTCGTAGTCTTGAAGCATACATAACCTCTTAACTGTGGTCTGAACAGAGAAGTACAAAAATAAAAAATGGAGGTCAAAATCTTACCATGCTTATTACTTACAATTTACATCCCTTCCACCCCAAGGAAACCCCATGCCAGTTTTGAGATTAGGGTCAGGCTATAGATTTTCTTTAGCAAAACGAAAGCCGTTAACATTTCCTAGGAAAGATTGTTTCCAGTCATCAGAAAAACATAAGATCTACATTTAAGACATGGGAGAGTTTAACTCATTCAATAATCATCAATCATCTTCTTCAAGGAAATAGATTTGTCCCCTTTAATTAGACCAACCTTCAACATTTCTGTCACCATAAATTTGGATTGCAGTATCACAATTCTCTTTGTGGTTGCTAAGATATGTTGAATGTAGAGGAACTGTAAAAAAAAAAAAATTAGATTTCTAAAATGTTATAAAAAGTACCTAGTAATATTTTTACTAAATGTCCATGAGCAAATACAGTATTACTTTTAGAAAGCTTAAATTCCGACAGGACTTTTATTTTGTTTCTCCGCTTTTTTCCCTGTACCTACCCTCCTTGCTAATTAATGCTTTATCCCATTTGTATACAGGGTGTCACTGTTTCATTTGTTAAAAATCTAGATTAAAATGACCATAACTGGAAATGAAAGTCCAAATAAATAAACTTGGCTATGTGTGTGTATGTGTGTGTAAAAGGGTCTTTTCCCAGAAATTCTGAATCATAGACTCACACACTAGCAGTACTTAGAGGATGTATATCCAGTGATTTTTCAGCTCAGGTTGCATATTACAAATGGGGACCTTGAGGCTCCATTTTCTCACCCCAGACCAATTGAACCAGTATCAGGGCTTTGGCATTTTTTTAAGCCCGAGTATATTCTAAACAGCCAAGGTTTAAAAACCCTTAATTTAATCCAACTGTCTTGATACAGAGTGACAAATAAAAACCCTTCAGGGAGAAATTATCTCAGGCCATTGTAGAGTTGAGTTTAGAAGCCACATTTCCTAGCCCCAGTTCAGAGCAATTTTCATTACAATCTGGAACTCATTAGTTTTGATAGTTTGATTCATTTGAACATTCCCTTGATAACATTAGGAGAAGGATATAGCATGATGCTGTGCAGTGGTGTGCATTAACACCTGAACTTCCTATATTTCTCAGCATAGTTGACTTCCTTGCCTTTACTAAAAATAAGTTTCTTTGATTATTGTGAAGAGTTTTTAAAACATTTATAAATTTCTTTTATATAAATCAAGAAAATATCTGTTACAATTTTTATCATAGTATCCCCATTTTTAAAGTCATGTGAAGTATGTGTAATTCACTTCTGGAGATACATTCTGAGAAAACAGCACTGATAACATGGGCCTGTTGTTAGCAGTGTTGAAAATAGAGGTAGTTAAACATTTTCCTGTTCCTTGACATCTGTCTTTTCTGTATGTGTCTATCTGATGAGCACATCAAAGTCTAAAATATTCCAATTCACCATAGAATAGCAATACCAATTGTTACATGGCATGTGTTTTATCTTGTAGAGAGATGGAAAAGTGTATCTAAATGCCTCATGCCTGTGCTCAGAAGTAATGCAAATCAGTCTTGTCAGCACTGGGAATAAATAAAAACTGTAGTGGATAAAGGCTAGAAACATTTTTCTCTTTTGCACTTATGCAAAATTTTGTTTGTAGTGATCATTATCATGCATTAAGCATCCTCTGTGAGCCAGACATTCTGCTGTGAGCAGAAGAATATTGAAGGCATAGTGCTACCCTCAACTATTATTTATCAAAAGTAAGCAAATAAATAAATGCAGTTTGAAGTAGTTGGGAGTAAAGAATAAACATTTAAGTAAAACTCAAAAATACAAAAATAGTCTGTGAGTTATGGGTAGAGCTATATATGTCGTACAGTGTTTAATATGAATTCATACAAGTCTCTAATAAGGACTTGTTTTAGGTAAACACTTGTCAACCTGCAATGATTCTGTTAGTAAGTAACAGAAAATCCAACGATTTAAAGAAGTAAAATTCCAGAAGCATCAGTTTGTTGTCTTGGTTCCACTTCTCATCAATAACAGATTGCATATCTGTGCTCCTCTGATTTTGCATTGTGTTTTACCTCATGGTGACAAGAAATTGCTCTAGCTCCAACTTTCACATCCTTATCCAAGACAAGCTATTACATTGAAGGGAGAAAAGGAACAGAAATCTTTCTATTTATCAATAATGCAAATTAGTACCTGGATTTCTTGCTCAGCACACTCCTTTTAGTTTATATGGAGTCCCAAAGCTACTCTTGAGCATTAAGGAAGACTGGGAAAGTGAATGTTGGATTTTCTGTTCTCTCTTTGTGATACATAATGAGGAAGATGAAAGTTGGAAAAGGTTTTTGGGTGATCAAACAGTAAGGTATTTCATTGTTTCATTTTTACCTGTTGTGTTACAGTACACTGTGCTTACCTGTGCATTATACTCTTTTCATTTTCTGTTTGATTTTGTATTTATCTGTATATGTTGCTTCCTCTATTATTTAGGAGAATACTTGCATGATGGATTACCAGTTTTAGAAACTGATTTTTTCCTATTTCTATTAGTTACCATCTACATCTACTTAAACTCATTTAGCAAACAGGCTAGAATTTTGTTTCCCTGAGTAGGCCGCAGATATCAACTAGAAAGGATATCATTTTTATTTATGTTTAATTACACTGGCAAGCATTACTCATGTGAAAGAAAATGTATCAAAGCCCTAGATGCTTCCATGGGTTCTTATTAAAAGTATCACATTTTATCTTTTATAGAGTGTGATAGGGTCTCATATCAAGATATATTTCCAAGAAACCTCATCAACCTTACATTACAAAGAAATTCAGCACCTGCATATCAAAAATAAAATTAGTAATTATATCATTTGATGCAATGTTTCAAAAAAGTAGTCAATTAAAGCAATATGAATTCAACCAGAATCCTCTGCAGACAGCAACATCCTGCAATTCTGACTTCACAATGACACGAAATTTTAAATGACAACAGTGCTAAATCGGGGAGCGGCAAACCCAGGCCAAGTTTAAATTTAGTAACACTGCTAGTTTACTGAAAATAACCTTCTCCATAGCAGATTCTCTATGAATTTCAGATGATTGACTATATGTTTTTGTGTTCTGTTTAGAAATAACCAGGTGCCCAGAAGCTTCAGCACTGGTGTCTTCACTTCTCTATGGCATTTCTGGTGTCCATCTTACGAGTCTTCTTGGCCAGTCTTGAAACACTCAGAAATTAAAAAGAGAAGCCCTTGCTTATATACTTCTTGAAAATTTCCTTCACATATGTCTGGAACTTTTGGAATGAACATTAGGATTTGAAGGTGAGTAAATTTGGGAAATAATTAACATTTGTGCCAATGGTTAAATACATCAAAAGTGAATGTTGAATATATTTTAATGAAATACACAGTGAATATGGTTTGTTGAATTAAGGAAAATAGCCTCTTATGCTCAGTGCCATGGCAAAAAAGGAAAAATAAATAAAATACAAAGTTTAAAAGCAAGACACAGTGATAATTTTAATATCTGATGATCACTTTCACATAGAAAAAGCATGGCATAATGTGTTCTCAAATTTTAAGATACATGGTGGGGGGAAGCAGAAGGAGATTCTTAAAATGTCCATTCAAGTCTGGGATGTGGCCCAGCAACCTGCATTTATCGTTACCACCTACAAATTATCATGATGAAGGTGAGTCTTGGGCCGTTGAGAAACACTGAAATTGGCATTCACAATAATATGCTTTGAATTTTCAAGCTTTATATTAAATGGGTTTTATTTCATTTGTTTCCTTTAGTCACAAGAATAAGGAAGAAAGTTTGATATGATAAGCTTATTGTCAGGTGTCCTATCTCTTTTCAGAGTGACAGACCTGTCTTTGCTGTTTCTCTATTCCATGTAATGCCTTAATTTATTCAGATGTATATTCTTATTCAGCTAATTCTAATATCTAGGAGATGAAAATAATGAGTTTTTACCAGGGTTAGTTAGCATGTCTCCATTTTCAGGGCTTTTTTTCTCTTTCTTTGAAAATTCAGTCTTAGATTTTGAAAGAACAGATTTGCTGACTACATCTTTATTTACTTATTTTCCTTTGCAGATCAAAACATAGATCATGTGATATACTCATGACAAGTTACATACACATTTAGTGAATACCACTTTATGTGTTTCCTTTATCTTATTTAGTAACTTCATCTTTATTACTTGCAATTTTAAGTGTATAAAGGCTTTACTTTTTTAATTCCAGTGAAGGTAGTGATTAGTAAGGACATATTCCAATCTTAAATTATGATGACTCCTTAAAGATTGAATATGGTTTTATTTATTTTTATAAAGATTTATTTTTATTTATTTATGCATACAAGAGATGGAGTGTAGGCCAGAGGTGCAGGGTGTGAGAGTATTTACCAGAGACAGAATGGAGAGCATAACAGGCAGATGTACTGAAATACACTGCTGAGGGGAGCAGCAGGTGAGAAAGGAGTGGTCTGCTGTGCCATGTGAGTTAGCTCCCTGGCCTGCAATCAAACTCATTCTGCAATGGCTTGCGACAGCTTGACAGCACTTGGTAGCACTGAGACTTTTACCTCTGCACCACCAGGGAGGCCCTGAATATGGTTTTATTTTCATACTTCAGAGTGAATCTTTTAATCAAAATCCTTTGGTTAAATTTGAGATTTATGGACGTTGTCTTCTCTCTACGTCAGTCTTTGTGTGCACTTGTTCATATTGTGTAGAATTCCTTGTCCATAAAATATCAAAAGATAAAAATAAGCTCTTAGCTATAAAGAAGTATATTCCAATTGTGCCAATGAACTATACGTATTAACTATTAGTATTATCCAAAGTAAATGAAGTCGTATACATGAAATAAGATGTTTTCTTAAGTAATCGAAGTTAAAAATTTACAGAATTAGATTAACTATAATAATAAATTTCACATGCATTTGTTTTCAGAATTGTTCTTGGTAGTAAGATGGTCATACCTGATGTTAAAATTCTAAAATTTTATAATACAAAAAAATCCTTAAATATGCAAGTTTATTGTTCATAGATAAAGTTCCCAAGTAAGATTTAATAAAGCATTTAGTGCAAACCTTCCGTAATATTTCAGTAAACTAGAAACTACTTGCCCCTCTCTTTCATTTTTTTTCTTAGCAGAGGAGCAGGTGGAGAGAGAATGGATTTGTGTCCTCTAGTGGGTCACGTTCATTATCATCAGCGTATTTATCTTAAATTGTGGCTCCCTAAAGAAAACTTACAATGTAGTTTCGGGGAACCTGAGAGAGGCAAACTCCACACTCAAGAAGCAAAATATACAACAAAAGAATAAATTAAAGAAACTTTATAAAATCATAAAAGCATAGAAGCATAAAGTTTTAGAATGGTCCATTGAGATCTTCTAGTCTTAACCCCTCATGAATAATAGCATTCTTTTCTCTTCCAAACTTGCTGTATAAAAGCTCCATACAAAGAGCAGTAAAAGCCAATATGGTCAGGCAGGACTTATTAACAAAGTGAAACTAAGCACATATTTTTTCAATAAAGATTTCTTGGGTAAGAAAGATATGAGAAATTTTCCTTGGAGATGAAGGTTGAAGAACTGAAGAAAATACCTGAGTCCTTATAAATGTAATTGAATTTAAAAGCATTAGCTATTTTAGTTGTCAGTAAATAATCTTTCATGTAATTAATCCGGAAATAAAAATAGCAAATTTAAGTTTAGGTTTATTTCAGACTTAGTAACTTTGGGTAGCTGATACTGAGGGAGATAAGAAGGAAAAGTGAGATAAAACCTCAGAACAGTAGAGACATCTGGGACCATTCATTACAGGAGAAAGGAGATTTAAGTATGTAAGAATCCCTGTGGAGTATTAGTGTTATTAAGAAATAGTATAATAATAATACTTTTGAGATATCCAAAAAGATTAAAATAGGTTTATTATTCTGAATTTAAGAAGTTGGGAAGTGGTTAAATATATATAATATACTGTAAATGAAAACAAGTTACAAAACCGTATGTGATATGGTCCCATATTTATTTAAAGAGCTATAGATGCATAGGAAAAATGAAGTGAGATGCATCAAAATATTATTAATGGGTCATGCTCAACTGATATAATTATGGTTTTTTTTGTTACTTCTCAGGGTTTGTAATTTTTTGGTGAACCATATTTTATTGTAATTTTAAAATATTTTTAAAGTACTGGGAAATTATTCAGTTTTCTGGAAAATTCACTTTTCTAGAACTAGAAAGTAGTTCTGGGAATGGTTGTATAATAGCTTAAAAGTGAAGCTCTTGCATCTAATAGATTAAACTAATTTGAATCTGAGAAAATCCTGATAATTAGATCCAAATGATTTTTTGGATGCAATTCTTCATTTGTAGATATCACAGTAGAATAAAATTCTCAAGTTTGCCTCTTCATTAAACTCTGATAATTTCAAATTATGAGCATTAATTCCTTAGAAATAGTCTTCATTTCTTGTATCAGGTAATTCCAGTGTGATTTCAGGACTTTTCTAACTATAATAGTTTCCTATTTGGAGGATAATTTTATATGTTTGGTTACAGTAGTGTTAATATGTCTTTGTTCCTTAAATCTCCAGTGTAACATACGGTTAGTCTCACCATTATTACTACCAGCTGTGATTGGCCTATGATTTTGTTCATTCTGTCAGAATCCAAAGTAATTAGCTCTTTAGTTTAATGACAATATTTGTTAATGGGTTTTTAGGGCCAAATTCTGCTGTTAGAGGGTGGGTGGTGTATTTGAAGAGAGAATCTGGTCCTTATGTTTTAAGCATAAGCTGTGCAACTTGATTTCAAAATGATGGTTAAGGGAGTTTGAGGTAGGAAAATGAAATCTGCATTTATCTGAAGTTTCTCAATTTCAAGAAATAGAAAATAAAGTGACAGTTTATATAAATGAATAACAAACCCACTGGAAGTTCTCTGACACAGCTATCTTACCTGTGTCATTTTTTCATAGTTGGAATAGGAAATAAAATGATAATTACCAAGCACACGTTAGGTACATTCTCTTATGTATGACACATACACCCTCTTAAGTCCTTTAAGTACAACACAATATTTTTAATTATTTTTCCCTCCTTTTACTGAGGTATAATTGATATATAATATGGTACAAGTCTATGATGATCATTTTGTACATATATGTTTATAAATATTAATATATATTTATTATATCTCTATATATGATACACTTATATATTACAAATGATTACCGCAATAGATTAGTGAATACATCCATCATCTCCCATATTTAAGAGAGCATAGCTTAAGTTTACCACCAGAAAAAAGTGTTATTGTATTTTTGAGGACAGACTAAATTGCAAAGAACTCTTGCCTGCGTATCACTGGGGTTCAAGGTCACTCTGCTTCCTGGTAGTGGGTGTGATTTGGGGGAAATCTCATTGCCTCTTCTTGGGGCTCAGTCTGTTCATCCTTCTTGCTTATATCAGATGATCCCAGTGGTTCTTTCCAGCTGTGAAATGACAACTTACTGACTTTAAAAGAGTGCTGGGAGGAAAGCACAGGAGGGCAAGGAAGATGCAGTGACTTGAGCTAAATAAATAAATCATTAAATCTTAAGTACTTTCCTTCAGTGATTTATAACTTTCACCTGGAGAAGAGAAATATCTGAATAATTTTATGTACCAGAGACTATGGGCTAATAGACTATTAAAAGGTTTTGAGGAGACCACTTTTGCCAAAACATAAAAAAAAAAATCTAGTGAGAATGGAGCTATCCAACAGAGAAACAGAATCTCCGGGGAGATAATGAACTCACCATCACTATAGGAAAGAAAGTGGACATGGGTTTTATGACAAGACAAAATGGCCTTCAAAGGGTAAAAGCTGAAGGAACTTGTTCTGGACTTATTGAACTCCAGAATTGTTATTACCATGAGCCCTTCTTGAGGAAACACTTAGAGAGCAAACTCCATCAAAGCAAGAGGTGATTGGGCCTCCCTGGTGGCACAGGGGGTTGAGCACTGAACTATGAAGCAGTCCGCGGCCTCTGCAGCACAGGTTCAATCCCCGGCTGGCCAGGAAGCAACCCACATGGTACAGCAGACCTCTCCTGGTTCGCCCTCTGCTCCACTCAGCAGTGTGCTTGGTCAGTCTGCCTGTTCTGTTCCCTGTTTGCCTGTCTCTGGTGAATCCTCTCACCCCCAACATATCTGGCCTGTACCCAAGCTCTTGTATGCATAAATAAATAAATCTTTTTTAAAAAAAAAAAGCAAGAGCAAGAGGTGATTGTAGAAACTACTGCTAAAGAACTGACTGTG